CGCACGCGGGTCACTTGCCTTGCCGCAGACCTCGCAGGTGAAGACCTTGGGCTTGGCGCTGGGCGAGCCGCGGCTGAAGTCGGCCGACACCCCTTTGAACGGCAGCTTCTCCGACGCTAGGAGGTGAGCCGCGGCGGCGGCGGCAGCAGCAGCGGCGGCAGCGGCGGCCGCGTTGTGCAGCTGGGCCTGTGCTAGGTCCTTGAAGGCTGCCTGGGAGTATTTCTCCGGCCCGGACGGCAGCACCTGGAGCTTGTTGCGCTCGGCCAGGTAGGTCTTGGGCGCCGTCGAGTCTTGCAAGGCAGGCGCCGGCAGCGACGAGCCCAGGAAATAGGAGGCCACCGGGTGCAGGCTCAGGCCCGGCGGCTGCGGCTGCGGCTCTGCCGCCCGGCTGAAGTAGCTCAGGGCGCCCAGAGCGTGGAAGGAGGAGTGCTTGATCACCCGCGGCCGAACCAGCTTGTAGTGGGGCGGCTGCTGAGGCAAGCCGAGGGCCGGCTCGGCGGCCTGGGGCTTGAGGCTGAGCGCGCAGCTGAGAGCTGACGAGGCGGAGGAAGAGGAGGAGGCCGGCTCCAAGGGGGGCTTCCTGGGCTCGGACCCCACCTTGGCGAAGGGCTCGTAAGCCAGCGGCACGAAGGGGATCATGCAGGGGATGGAGGGCCCGAGGCTGAACGCCGGCTGCTGCTGCTGCTGCGGCTTCAGATGCTCCGCCGCCGTGGCTGCAGCCGCTTTGGGGACCCCGCCTCCCCCTGGCAAGAAGTGGGGCAGCAGCGGCACGGCTTGGGGTTCGGGGCCCGACCTGGCCATGATGCGCTCGATGGAGAAGGCCAGGGGCTTGGGCGCGCTCAGCATGTTGCCCCGCGCGACGGCGAGGCTCTTGGCCGCCGTCGGGGGGAGCTGCTGCTGCTGCTGCTGCTGCTGCTGCCGGCTCTTCTCCATGGCCGGCGTCTCGCTTGGGTCAGCGCGGTTCGGGATGCTTTGGCCCCGCTGCGCCCGGTCACAGCGCGACAAGCGGGGAACCTCGCGCCGCCGCTGCCGCCGCCGCCACTCGGGAACCCGACCTCAAGCCCTCCGAGGACGCTGCCGCCACCGGCGCCCTCCGCGTCTTCATCGCCTGCGGCACCAGCAAGAGCTCCGGCAAGGTCTCCATCCCGACAGCCGGCGAACGCCGCCTGCCCGTCCCGATGGACTCGCGCCGGCCCATCGCCGCCGCCGGTGTGCTTCCTTGGCGGGGGATGCTGGCACACCCCTCCTCCTCCTCCTCCTCTTCCTCTTCCTTGGCAGCGTCTCTCGCGGTTCCTCCCGCCGCCCCCCCCCTCCCCGATGGAAAGTGTTGGGTCAATAGCAGCAGCCACGATCCCGCCAATCGCTAACTTCCAAGAAGGTAAACTAGATAATTGCTCAATTCGCGTCCAACAGGCATCGGGAGGAAGGGGGGGGGGGAGGGAAGAGAGAGAGAGAGAGAGAAGTTGAGTCCCTCTTCCCTACCACCTCGGAGAGCCAGTGGCTCCTTTTCATTGGTGCCTGCGCCTCCCTCCGCCCTCCTCTCGGAAAGAAGGGGGGGGCTCGTCTCGCCCGCCCCCTCCCTCCCTCTAGATCGCCCCCGCTCTGGATCCCCCTCACCTCGCCTAGCCTCCAATTGCCTCTTCTTGCCAGGACCAGCCCCAGACCCCCTCCCCCAACCCACTCCTGGCAATCCCCCTCCCCCCTCCTCCCATCAAAAGACCAAGGACTCGCGCGACCCGGTCAGCGTCGGGAGAGGTCCCGTGACGGACGGGCGCGGGGTTTCTAAGCAGTGCTGAGCGAGCGAGCGAGCGAGGAGAAAGTTGCGCTGCCCACTCGCTTTCCCTTTCAGGCTGGGCCTGCCGGGGAGCAGGGCTTGGTTGCTCCGCCGCTGCCTTGCTGACTCGCCCGCCCGCTTCCCGTAGCGCTCCAGCGGGACCCCCGAGGCGGCGGCGGCGACGGCTGCCTGGGCTCTGGAGAAACAGAGGCGAGTGAGGCGAGGAGCGAGCGCTGCCCGGCCTCCCCGGGCATCTCGTCCGCGAGGAATCGGACTCCTCGCGCCGAGCCCCCTTGACTCAGAGTTGAGTGGGGCAGGTCCGAAGGGATTGTTCCCCTTGCGGACGAGGGGGCTGCGCTTCCCTGTTAGGGACGCCCGTTTCTCTGATCTGGGTCTCCGCATAGTTGGCGGCGCCTTGACCTCCGCCAAGCCCCGTTGATCGGAATGCGACCTGTCTTCTCGGCTCGCACCTCCTGGATCCTGGAAATGCGTGGATTTCTTGTAAAAAAAAAAAAAAAAAGTCGAACCAACCATTCTCAATAGGATTTCTGCTTCCTTTCTCTACCCTGAGCTGGTTCTCTTCTTTCAATCCCGCAGAAAGCCCCGGTGGAGGGTGCCGAAGGTACATCCCTCCCTGGGACGGGCCCCAAAACGTTCTCTTGCTAGGCTGCTCCTGGGCCCTTTGGGGACGGCTGAGGGCAGCCTTTCGGCTCCGATCAGCCCTCCTTAGAGCCTCCTGGCCCTTCAAGCAGTCCAGGCCAAGAGCTATATTGACCTGCTGCAAGGGGAGGCTGAGGCCAAGAGAAAAAGGCCGCTCCGAACTGCAGTGAAAGAAAAAGTAACATACCAAGAGTTCTCCTGGCCCCCAAACAGATTTAAAAAAAAAACAACAACACCGTTTCGCGGGAAGACTAGGTTTAGTAGTACATTGGGCGCTTGTTACTATTTATACCTTTTAATGGAAGCACAGGAGAAACTGTCGCTGCTCAAAATTAGTGTATCATATCGACGATACACTTGGCGGGCCCCTCGCCCTCTTCAGATTGCGTTGGTCCACACCGTCCTCTCTTCTCCCCCCTCCCGCCCACCTTTTTAGCATGTGCTCTGCCACCCTTTCCTTGTATTTCGACCTCCGCGAGAAGGTTAATGGGAGCGCTTCCCTATAGCAGGTGGGTTGGTGCTAACCTATAATTGCCACCCTTTCCAGAGGGGTCGGATTCCCTCTTTAAGCACCCCAATGCAACAAGGGGGGGGGGCGGCGGAGAGGGGGGCAAAGACGTCGATTGTGGGTCAAGCACTTCTATCTGTACAGCGCCTGGCACACAACATAACGCAACCTGGTTCTTGCTTAGTACAAAACGTGCTTGGCTGGCACCGTAGCGAAGGCAGTCTCTAAAGCACCCACGTTAGGGCCAAGCGCCAGCCTCACTCGCTCTCCCAGCCTCCCACGGTAACTATTTGCGGAGCTGTCCAAGTCTGCGTCTCCTTAACGCCTCCGGAGTGGCCTCTTTGCTCGTCCTTTAGAGCTCGGCTTTTTCCCCCCTTCTCAGAAAGGGAAGGAATCAACCCTTTGAGGAGCATGAGTAATCCCTTCTCAAAGTCGATTTACTGGCTCTGCGGGCCCGTCAGAAAATGCCTAAGGGCAAGGGTAGGAAGTCAGAAGCCTCCCTCCCTCCCTGCCTCACCTTTGCGCATCTAAGAGACAATAAGGGGGCAGCTGTTGGGGCCGAGAATTAGGCACCGCCCAGCCCACAGAAATCCGAGACAGCCTCACTCCTGCCAAGCAAGACAGGGCAGATCTCACCTTTCCCCACATGAAACAGAAGGCCTAAACTGCCTCCTCAAGAGCAGATGATGAGTGTTGGGGTCTGTGCAGGGTTTCTTTAAAAGAGAAATCGCATTCAATTCAGTACATTTGTTCTTGCATCCCATAGAAGAATTGCTGTGAGCGTCAGAGGAAATGGGATTTGTCCCCACTGAAAAGCTTTGGGAAGTGTAAAGGTGAAGAGCCTTGCTTGGCTGCTGAAATGCCAATATTGTTTCTTGGGGGGCGGGGGGGGGAGGGAAGCTGCTTGGGGTCAAAAGAAACTTTGAATAGCTGCTCTGCTCACAGTTCAGCAGACTCACAGCCTGGGTAGCCTTAGCTAAGAAACGGTGTTTTGCTTCCCAGTCTGTGCAAACAATAACCACGTATGCTAGTAGTTTGAGAGGGAGGCACCAGGGAAAACCATGCTTAGAGTTGTGCTCCAGAGCCTAAATTAAGTGTCTTTCATGCACTCTCTCCAGCAAAGGAAAAGTTTGCATTCCAATCAAGGGCAGTCATAGCAGGATCCAGGCTATTATCTTTTGGCAAACCTAGCTCAGTGATGTTAATACCACAATTGAGCCCAAAATTTCTGATGTTAAGTGAGATATTTGTTAAGTGAGTTTTTCCCCAATTTACATACTTCCTTGACACAGTTGTTAAGTGAAGCAGTGCAGTTGATTACTTAGTAACCTGTTTGTTAAGTGAATCTGGCTTCCTCATTGGCTTTGCTTGTCAGAAGGTTGCAAAAGGGGATCACATGATCACGGGGATGCTGCAAAAGTCGTAACTGTGAAAAACAGCCATAAGTCACTTTTTTTAGTGCCATTGTCACTAAGTGAACTGTTGTAAGTCGAGGACTACCTGTAAAGCCTTATGTTGTGAGAGCATTTACTCCACAGCTCCATCAACTTAGAGGGTGTGTGAGAAAAACAAGTCTTTCTCTGCTGCTGAATGAGTACACAATCAAGTAGGCAGACTCAAAGCATTGTACCTGTTCCTGTGAGTGCTCTTAAAAGGGCGCTTCTGGGCCTTGCAGGGAAGTTGGAAATTAGGATTAAAGTGAAGGAGATAGCAAAAACTATGTCCCTAACTCTAAAACTGTGGCTTTGTGATGCAAATCACCCTCATTTGCTTTGGAGCTGAATGCTGTACTCTTCTGCAATGATTCCCATCCTTGATTCAATAGAAAACTGATATTGACCGCACCCAATGATGATTTCTCTCAACTTTGTAGCTGCAGATGCCTGACTTTCTTTCAAGGTAAGGAGTAACAAAGGCTCACAGATTTTGCATACAGTGGTGCTGCCCTTGGATAGTGATGGAGGGTGGAGGAGTTGGGAAAAAAGTATCCTTTTGGCATGTATATATTTAAGGATGACTTAAAGATGCTCTCCATCCTGGGGCAGTGGATGTGATACAGGTAATGCCACGAGAATAGACTGGCAGGAGGAAAAAAAGATGCTGCCAGAAGATGCTTGTGGTGTAGTTAGGTGCAAGTGAAGAAAGTCCATTAAGGCAACATTGATTTGGCATAGAGGAAGATTGCTTCACAGCCTTTGCCTCCACCGGAGAACCAGAGGTAGCCAGGTCTACTTCTGGGTGGGCAAAAAGGTGATTGTGCAGATTCTGGGTAGGAAAACTAATCACAGACAACTACAGTTAAATTCCAGCTAGGGGCAAATTCCATGTCTGCTTCATACCGAAAAGTTCCTCTTTCTGCTAATTCGCCAACCATTCATGCCAATCAAATGGGAAGGCTGAACCCTCATTTGACACACTGAACCTGTAGGGGACTCTTTGAAAGAAATGGTGTTTTCTTGAACTATCCCAGGAAAAGATGCTGTTGCTTTAAGGGGTTTCTTGTGGACAAGTGCCATGTTTGGGTATCACTTTCGAATCAGCAGCAGAAAGCAGCCCCAGGCCAAAATAACTTTTGGCCCTTTGCCCTTCAGTCTTAGGACATCACCAGCCTTCTCGATGGCTGAGCACATCCAAATTAAGGGGCACAAAACTTCCAGGCCACCATATTTATGTTTTATTTTAGATCGCTTATTTCAACTGTATTATTTTTTATAAGTAACTTAAGGTGGTGAACATAGCTAATACCCCTTCTTCCTCCTCCTATTTTCCCCGCAATAACAACCCGGTGAGGTGGGTTGGGCTGAGACTGACTGACCCAAGTCACCCGGCCGGACACCTGAACTCAGTCTCCCAGTGTCTAACCCCTTAACGTTTACACCAAATTGAAGTACACTGATTACTCAG